AATAATTAATGTAGTACTTTTTGTGATGTGACGTATATAAGATAAAAAGATAATCGGGAATATAAAAAATTGAGTTGGAAAATGTATTTATGATGTAAGCAAAATATTATTTAAAAAATGGGGTATCCAAACAAACCCATAGTAACATCTAACTGATCTAAATGCATATTATATTATTCCAGTTTATATTTAAATTCCAAGTTTTATAAATGCATCACGCATCTAAATTCACTCACTACCATGGTGAAGTGCTCATATGCTTATATAAGGTATTTCCCATTTTCCCTCTAGTTGACATATATGGAGTTGTAAGTTCCCAATTGCATATTCCTAACGTGTTAGCTGATTCTTTGATAGCTGTAATGGATCTTCTATCCTACTTTCTATGCCACTATTTATCACACTCTGTATTATATTGCTATTTCTCTTTTATAAATATTATATTTTAATTTTTTTTATATTTTAATTTTTTTATTTTCTTAAAATATAATAAATATTAACTAAATAAAAATAAATACAACAGTCTCAAAAAAGAAATATATAATGGAAAATTAAAAAATATTTAATTCTTTTTTATTTTCTTAAAACTAAATAACTATTAACTGAGTAAAAAATAAATACAACAATTTTTAAAAAGTAATATATAATAGAAAATTTTAAAATATAGTAAAAAAATTATAAAAAATCTCATTTTTTTATGTATTTTGATTTTTAAAATTTATTAAATTGTGTATTATTCAGTTAATAGCTTTTGGAGTTCAAGAAAAAAAAAATTGAAATATAGTATTTATGAAAAAATAGTAATATAATAAAAAATGAAATAGATAATGCTACAGTAGTTAAGACGGAATATCCATTGTGTCTGACGTGCAACTCACCGGCAAAGCAAAGAGGGACAAGCAGCGTGGGCGAAAAACGAATTTGCTTTGGCTCCCATTGCATTCATTTAGCATGTAAGGTCTGACCATATCTAACCATACGTATCCAACAGCATCACTCGTTAAAGGCTCTCGGTAAAGGTGTCAAAAAAAAGGAGCATGTCAATTTTGTTATTTCATAATTGAAGATTTACGGTGGCCAGTAGTTTCAATAGCTGAACATTTTCCTTCTTTCTTTCTTTCTTTTTTTTTTTTTTTGTAAAGCCCCCCTAGGGAAATTTCCTTGTCCCATTACATCATTATGGAATGTTAAGAAATAGCACGTGAAAATCTTAAAATGGTATTTAGTACCTTTTTTCTTGTTAATTACTGCTTAAGTCCTTGTGTTCTTTAAACAAAGGCCACAAAATAGAGCTGTTAAACGAGCCGAGTCGAGTTCGAGCATAGGACAATCGAGCTCGACTCGAACCTCTAATCGAGCTAGCTCGAACTCGCTCGATTAGTAATTCGAGCTTCACAAGGCGTTCGAGATCGACTCAATGTACTGATAGAAAACTCGAGTTCGGGCTCGAACTCGAGTTTGAAATCGAGCCTAACTCATTGAGCTCGAATGGAATTCGAGCCGAGTTTTTCGAGCTCGAGCTCGTTTACGGGAGACAGCATATCAGCTCTTGAAAAAAAAGAGGATGGCGCCTGGTGGTAAGAATGGAAGGTGCGACGTGCAGCGTGCAGCTGCGGGGTGCGGGGTGAGAATGGACGGTGACGGCTGTGGGATGGGAAAAGGTAAGACCAAAAGAGGAAAGAAAAATTAGGGCTACAGACGGGATATGACTTAGGTTAGAGTACCACATATACATTGAAATGATGAAAATGCCCCTACCCTTCGAACCTAACGAGCTTAAACGAGTACTGATTAGAGCTCGAGCTCGGATCGTTTCTCTCTGTAAACGAGCCGAGTCGAGCTCTTATCGAGTCGGGTCGAGCTCGGCTCGGGAGCTATCCGGTTCGATTAACAGCTCTAGCCACAATGAGTGCATCGTCAGAAAAGGAAGTTGGACAATGTATATTCAAGATACAGTAACAATTGCAATTTTAGCTAGACACAAATATTTAAAATGTATAATCCTTGGGCCTCATAGCCAGAATTCTTCAAATTGTTAGGTGTTAATTAACTACCATAAAGAAATTAAGCTGGAATTGAGGGCTAAACTAGAAAAACATCCTTTTTCTCCTACGGGGCTAAAATTGATACTTCTTAATCTTTGGGGTGCAAGTGCAACATTTACCAAAATTAAGATGACCTGTTGATGTGATATTTTGTGTGATTTGCGGGATATTTATAAGGGTTAATTTCACATACGTCCCCTGAGGTTTTTAACAATTACAGAAAACTCCCCTCAATTTATAAAAATTATACCTAGCTTCCCTGTTTTCACTATTTAAGTAACATTCTAGACCCAAGGCTATATTTTTTTTCAAAATTTCTATAATGCCCTTGAGCTATAATTCACAATAAAAATGTAAAGGAAAAAATAATTTATAGTCTCTATTTCATTTATATTTATTTTCTACCACTATTATCTATTTATCAACATCCAAATCACTACTAAATAAACACTTATCTTTGTTCTAATGTTCCTCTTTTACCTAAAAATTTCTGATGCATACTATTGTATAAAGTATAAATACTACATCATATACCCAAAAACTTACTTACAATTTCATAACAATATCAGATTTTACTTAATATACTACAGTATTCATCAATATTCCTAAATTTCAATCCTATGGTTGCCACCTTTTTAATACAAAATAATCTAAACCATCACTACTAATATCAATATCCAATTTATTCCATTGGCATAGAGTTCAAAATCAATCAAATTGTCTCTATAGGAATAATATCAATAATTGTAAATAAAAAATAGAAACACAATGCAGTTATAGATATATATCAAGAATACTTTTTTCATGATAACCATAACAGTATAACCTATATTTAGTTCCTATTCAACTTTTTATCCTTAATTTTTATTTTTTATCATTGTCACTATTTTCATTTCTATCTAATTTGATAATGAAATTAACACTCAATTTGTCATTTGACAATTTCAATTTGTTAATGCCTATAAAAAATTGGAAACAAAAATGGGCGCAAGAAAAATATTTACTAATAATGAAAAATCGAGGATTGGGAATAGATACCAAGATATATAAGTATTGGTGGTTTAATGTGTACGGCGATTTTATTAGTAGCGACAGTACATATTTGGTTGATAATAATAAATAAATGAGTTTGAAAGAAAAATAGATATATGAGTAAGAGAATAGATAGTTAAATAAAAAAAACTATGGTTTGAATTATTGGTTAATAATAGATGAGAGAGTTTTAATATTTGATAGAGTTTTTCAATGAGTTGACAATTAATAAAAGGCATTATTGTCTTTTTATCACAACAAATGAGGTTTTTGTAATTATGTAAACCTCAAGGGAGCCGAATGAAATTGTCGAAAATCTCAGGGGAGATTTCTGAAATTATCCCTATTTATAAAATAATACATAATGCATGGGTTTGTAGCATGCAGGCTCTATTAATCTGTTAATTGGTACAGTACGCCACCGCCTTTTAGCAATGTTTTTAAACTCGGACCGGTCAGTGAACTGGAGAGGTGGCCGGTTCGCGGTTCGACCGGTCCAACCGACCGGTTCAAAGGTTCACTGTTTTTTTTTTTTTTTTTTTAAAGTGTTAAGTACTAAGCATGTTTCATTCTACACTTGAACTTTACCAACATAACTTAATTTAAGTTATGGTAATAATAAATTTTCTAAAAGTTATACATAAAACATGGAATGATAAATATAATTAAAATATCATAATTCACCACAAGTTTTCATAAATTCATTATAAACATAAATAGATACAATCCAAATGTGCACCAATTATCACAAATAAAAACACAAAAAATAAATAAATTAAATATTGAAATTCTTTTACAACCCTTAAAAAAATCCATAAAAGAGTTCAAGTTAAGACAAACTATTTGAATAGCAAACTTTTATCAGTGGCATGATAAGCAACCACACCACCTTCACAATTTCATCAACTTAAGCTGAAAAAGTTAAAATTTTATTATAAAAATATAAATCTAATTGCTCAAACTAAAAAAAACTAAAAATTTTTGAAAAACAAATATACAGTTAAACACATAAAAAATTAATTGCTACTAAAAATTACTAATTAACATGTTATATTAAATTCAATGATCCTATACCATTAATTATTTTAAATTCAATTATCAATAGCTTCGATTATGTGCCAACTACCATATTTTTGACCAACCCAATGTTATTATTTGTAATTCCTACCCAATTCCTACACGGATGTGCACTACTTTTGCAAAAATTTCATCCTTAATTAATCGAATAAAAATAAAACAAAAATGAGGGAAACATATGAAAATTGAGGGGAAAAAGAAGAAAATGCAAAAAATCAACTAAAGATAATAATATAGAAAAAAACCTTGAAAAGAAAAAAAATTAAACTTACTAAAATGTTGGAAAACAAGAAAAGTTGAAATTTTCAACTTGTTTACAATCTGCTAAAGATAATAACCTGATAATAATGGTGAAGACTTGAGAAAATCTTGTTGTGGATATTTGGGTTAAAAATGGTTAAGAAGAAAAAATTGAAAAATAAAATAAGAGAAGAACTTGATGTTTTAATATATTTTTTAGTCAAGTAGAATTCTCAACAAACTTAAGTACAGTCTATCGGTAAGATTGTCATATTTAAACTTGGAGACCCAGGTTCGAATCTTAGCTACACCATTCTTGATATTTTGTTGAAGAATTTAAAAAACCGCCGGTTCAGGTTCTTAACGGTTCGCACGGTTCGTCCGGGTTTCAACGGTTCTCCATAAATCGCCGGTTCACGGTTCTTAACGGTTCGCACGGTTCGTCCGGGTTTCAACGGTTCTCCATGGACTTCCGACTTTAACATTAGACCGGACCGGTGATATGGCCGGTTCGCGGTCCAACCGGCCGGTCCGGTCCGGTTCTGAAAACATTGCCTTTTAGTTTCCATATACATTCTCCCGTTCCACTACAACAACTCAATCATCCCTCCTCATCCCTTTCCGAGACAGTTAGCTCAAATTGTAAAAAGGGTTCTCTCTGCAGAATCTAAAACAGGCCCCAGAAAAAATTAACCCAAAAATGGTACCTCCCACTGCTCAAATCGCTTTTTCAGCCTCCTGTAGCTAGTTCCTCTTCCACCTTTCGAACAAGGATGCAATTCTGAAGCATGCTCAGCTCATGAAAGAACTAGGAGATAATAAAGCCGCTAATGGCTTGTGAATATAGAAACTTTTCCCGAAAAAGAGAGAGAGATCACTTTTGCTCATCGTTTTTGGGTTTCTTGATCTCTAATTTGATATTGTGCTTATGAACAGAGAAGTTGCCGCTCCTTCCACTCAACCAATCGGTCAGGTAATGTTTTATTTTCTTTATTTCACATTTATAATGGGTCTGGTGTTGTTGGTAGCTGTATTGGTTGGAATTTTAACTTAAGAGGGCCTTAATTTTTTTTTTGGGATACATTGTAGCATAAGTGCCAGGTTTTTCTGAAGTATTCTTGCCAAAGATGTTGGGTTTTCAGTTAAGTATATTCTGCTCGAAATTGTTTTCTTCTTATATATGAAATGACGAATAAGAGAGAGAGGGAGATCGGCTTAGGAGGAAAAGAGGAAGAGTTATAAGCTAGGAAAGGGCCGGTGCAAGTAAAGAGGGAACTAGGATTTTTGAAATGAAGAAAAAGGAAAAAGAAATTTGCCGAAAAAAGAAAAGAAAAGAGGAAGCCATCGTTGACTGGCAGAACCGGCCGCCCACGGTGAGTCAACCAGTGGCTGAAGCTATTGGAAAAGTATGAGACAAAAGACACATCGTGGTTGCTAGCAACAAAAGTAGTGGCTGCCGCTTTCCTGAGGCGGAGGAGAAGGTGGTAGGTGATGGAAGTGGCCTTTGATTGTGAGATGAAGGAAGAAAAATAAGGTTTTGAAAAGGAAAGTTTCTGGAAAATTTTCAATGATTAAGAGCCTAATTGTGGAAATTCGAAACTCATAGTCTAAATTGAATGCCATTTCTTTCGTTTGAAATTAGAACCATACGACTATTTGCTAATAAACCATTCAAGGCCAAACTCTTAATGAACGATTTATAGTAATCTTTAAAGTTATTGATTGTTAGCTTGTTTCGGATGGCAGGAAGGTTTTCAAGGCCAAACATTTTTCAGTGACAGGTTGAAGGAAATTCTAATGGTTTCTATAAAGTTTAAAATGTTTTAGTGTAGTTCTGCTGTAATCTTTAGAAATATTATATAAATTTTCTAGCCAAGATATGTTTGTTTTACTGACGGTGAGTTGAATTTGGAAAATTTATACTTGAATCCTAAGTTAGGTTATGAGGTCAAAAACCCTTAAGGACTTGTGTAAATCCTATGAGACAATTAAGAAACATTATAAACTCGGGAATAAGGTAAGTAAATATGTTCTTAAGTTTAAATTGGAGATTTCAAATCTAGTGCGAAGTTAAAAAAGTTTGTCAATCTAATAGATGAACTACAGTAAAGCAAGGCCACGGGGATTACCCCAGAGTAAGTAAGAGCAAGTAAATTAAGGCTATATAACTGTGATTTGTATCGTATCATTAACTATACGATTGCGATTTTTTCTGTAAATTGGCGTAGCTGAGAGGTGTGACTAGGGCTGGAGCTGAACCAAGTAGCTCGGCTCGAACTCGCGAGCTACTTGGTCAGCAGCTCGAGCTCGAGCTCGGTTGACCAAGCTCGATCTCGAGCTCGAGCTGCTCGTTAGAGCTATCGAGTAGAACTCGATCTTGGAAATATGATACTCGAGAGTTCGACGAGCTCTATCTAGTTTTTTATAATATATATTTTAATTTTTATTATTGTGAAATGTCAATAATATCCTTTATTTAAAATTATATATAAAATATTAATTTTTATTACTTGAACTTGATTAGGTTTGATTGAGCTCGAATAAGCTCGATTGTGCTTGATTTGAATTAATTACATTTAATTAAACTCGAGCTCGAGTTCCATAAATTGATGTCAAGTTTGAGCTGAAGTTCGAATTTTAAAAGCTTGAGTAGTTCGAGCTCGAGCTCGAGCTTAGTTATTTTGCCTCGAGTCGAGCTCGAGTAGTACTCGACAGCACCCCTAGGTGTGACCATTGTTTCGACCTCACCCTTAGGAGGGTTGCTGATGGCTCGCTTGCGGGGGTAGTTGTGGGAGGCTTACTATTTAGTGAGTGTCTGTAATTTTTCTATCAAATTCATCTCTTCACATATTTATGAAATTGTATTGATTTTAAATATATTATTGCAGGTTCTCCTGCTGCGCGTGTGATCACCACAGCTTTTCGAGTCGGGATCGGTATAGGTGTAGCATTTTCAGAGTGTAATAGGGTGTTTCACGAGTGAAAACCTTTATTTATTGTATTACATACTTTATTATGATTCTAGCCGTGGCACTTTTTAGCCAAAGTTGACTGGGAATATATTTGTTTTGACAGAAATTTTAGATATGATGGCGTGATGGAAATTAGATAAATTTTAAAAATTAGTCTTAGCTTATCCTCTCAACGTTATCTTTCAATAGCAATTAAATATACAATAGCTTTTTGGAAGAGGTATAAGGAGGAGGTTATAACAAATTGAAATATGAATTCGTGAAGGTGATTCTTTTATAGGTCTAAAGATATGCTGAGCTCAATAAAAATCAACAGGGCTAATTTACAATAGCTGCAAAAGTGGGGGTGCCGTGTAATTTATCCCCAAAAAAAAAAGGCTAACTCAAAATAAAGGGAAAATAATAGTACCATGCGCTAATTCACTAGATGAAACTTTTCCAGTAGCTTTCAGAAACCTCCCTGTTACACATAATATCACTCAATACCCCTTAAGTTTTTAAAATCTTACCTCTCTCCCTTGAATTGACATTTCTTGAAATATTTTAGCTCTTTTGGAGAAATTCAAAAAAGATGAAACTTTTGTTCCAACACTATCCTTATGTTATCCTATTTATGATAAAAATTTAAAATAAGATTAAAAAGTAAAAATATGAAAATATAAGCTACAATAAATGCAACAACGAATCATTTTATAGATATACACCAATTATTATCTAATATAATGCATGATATTTAACAATAAAGGGATATTTCTAAACATATATTTGGTCATTAGATCATTTTTGATTATCTTTTTTAATTTTGACTTGTTTATAAAATTTTTTCTATAAATAGGATTTATATTATAAACTACCCATATGAACAGATTATTTTAGTTCTCAATACAACTTAGGTCTCATTTGATAATCTAATCCAATATTTTTACTTAATGGATTCAGATTTTAACATGTCTAAATGCGTTTGATAACAAAAAAATTACACATCTGAATTAATTAAGCAATACTGAATTTTCTAGGTAAAACTTGTTTCAAAAAATAAGTGATAAATTATTCACTTATCACTGAATGTGATATACACTCAAATGTATTAGATTCAATACTTAACAATTCAATAGTTTAATGTATTCGGATTTTAGATTTCAGATTTCAATTTTCAAATTTTAGTTGTATCAACCACACCCTTAAACTATATCATGTATTAAAACATATTTCCTAAAAAAATTTCTTAACTTCCTCATAACTATTCACAAAATGTTTCAAAGTATTAATTACTCAAAAAAATCCTTCTAAGTGGTTGATTTTAAATTACCTACGTCCTTTGTTGTTCTATCATGATTTCGATATAAAAGAAATATTGACCATTATTATATAGCAATTTTTTTTAATCTACATTTTTGGTTTAAAAATTTTATTTTATTTTAGCTTTTTGGTTAAGTAGCTATTAAGAGCAAGGGTGATGTTGTCATTCATGACTTTTGATAGGAACATTTAGTCTTGTCAAACGAATTGGGGAGGTAAGTAAAATTTAAAAAACCTCAAGGCAACTGAGTGATATTAGAAGAAATCTTAGGGGAGGTTTCTGAAATTATCCCAAAGACTTATAGAGTATATGTTCGCCCGACCACGACGGCCATCCGACACCGCGGCGTTTCTTCTCCAAAGGCCTCTTCCTCTGTGGGGCAAATCGGAAGCACCGGAAAGCAAGCCAGTCTGTATATATACGAGAATTGGTATGAATTTTCAATCACTGATTATTAAGTCTTTTCTGTGTAGAAATATAATTAGGGGCTGATTTGTTTTTTTAGGGTTTTATTTGCAGAAAGTTTTATATCTCAGTTTTGGAATATAATTTTTTTTTTGGCATAACTGAGTCAAATCCGCTAGTTTTAGGACACATGCGAATAAATACTACTATCTGAACAATTTGACTACCATCTCTACTTGATCTTCGTATGCTGTGCAGCTGCTTTGACTTTTCCTTGAAGCCCTTCTGATATTAGCTGATTTTGCATTAATTTGTTATCCATATTCAGTCACTTGTTTGCCAGATTCTAATGCTTCGCAACTTTACCTATTTTCGCAATTTTTTACTTTTCCTGGAATTATTTGTTTCAAATTTATTTCGGCTAGTTAGAATCATCAGAGGAATTGATCAGTTTTTTCCCCTTCTTTTTGGTTGTCTGGATCCAGTGAGTAGAAGAATTTGTTGGAGTGAGGGTCTGAAAGGATACAAATATGTCATCGGGTAACAAAGAGGAAAGTGGTGCTCAGGATGCCGCTGAAAGAATCAAGGCGGCAGCATTATCAGCTGCAAAGGGTCTTAGCCGAGCTCAAGCTGAGCGTGCCGCTGCTGCGGCTGCACGCAACGTGAATGCCTATGGGCAGAAAGAGGAAGGGCCGAGTAGATGGCAAGAAAGGAAAGAAGCTAAGAGGCAGATGTATTTGATGAGTACCGAGAAACAAGTTAGGCTGGGTGAAAGGAAGGATCTTAAGAGTTCAATGTCTACTCTTGGGGCAGCTTCCCAATGCCAGAAGTGCTTCCAAACTGGGCATTGGACATATGAGTGCAAGAATGAAAGGGTCTATATTTCACGACCTTCTCGCACGCAACAGTTGAAAAATCCCAAGTTGAGGATGAAGGTGTCAATTTCTTATGATTTAGATAACCCTGATATTGAGAAGGAAGGGAAGAGTGATAAACAGGTTAAGAAGACCAAGAGGAAGCACAAGTCTGATACAGAATCTGGTAGCGATAGCGAGGCTTCAGTTTTTGAGTCTGATAGTGGCGGATCATCTGTGACAGGGTCTGATTATTCTTCTGGTGAGAGTGAGACTAGTTACAGTTCATCCACAGATTCAGAGGAAGAGAGGAGGAGGAAGAGGAAGAAGAAAAAGAAGCAGCAGAGGAAGAGAAGGCACCGCAGATATAGTTCAACCTCTGAATCTGGATCTGATTCATTCTCCGACTCTGAATCTGACTCTGAAGAAAGAAGCAGCCGGAAAAAGGGCAGGAGCTCCAGGAGCAGGAGGCATAGCAGGAAGCATTGAGGTGGCCGTGCTGATTGGAGTTTCTTGATTTTAGTGTCTGCTTTTTCGGTTGTCAGTTTGAGAAAGAAGCGTCAATGATATTGGAAGTCCATACAAGTATTGGATGATTACATGTTCTTTTTTCAGTTGTATGACTCTTATTCTCTGGTTGTAAGAATTTAGCTATCTTGTTATTGAATTCTAGTTTCTTGCTTGGTTGTGCAACAGGGCAATATTGGTGAAGCTAGTGATTGGCTACTAATCCACAGTAAGCTTGTGTTCTGCTGCTATCCTAGTATATGCACTTTTTCCATTTTCTCTATAATCTTCTTTATTTTGGTTCTGAAAGCAGATCTTGCGCATAATTTGTCGGCCTTGATTCTGTATTACGTTTATCTAGTATTGTGCCGTGAATCGGGCATGAAACTTCTGCCGATTACTTTGCATTGCTGAATGGAAGCAATTCTATGGCTTTTTTTCTGCTGATTCATATCTCGAGATGGAGCTGCATAGGAGTAAAGTTAAATGTCTTTCCAATCTGCGTGGGTTCATAAATGTGCTTTCATGGAGAGACTAAGTAGAAGCTGCATCTGCAGATGTAACTGATACGCGAGGCTCCACACCAAAATTCAGTATGTTCTTTGCAGTATATTAAGTCCGTCAGGTGATGGGGGTTCTTGTGGTTAGTTTAGACTTTAGAGGACCATGGTACGGATGGATTACAATCTTTAAATTCCCATTCGCTGAGGTCGCGAAAAAAAAACAGTGACTCGTTCTAGTGGAAGAACTAAAAATTTTGCCTATTGATTCTCAGCCATTTTGCCGGCCGTGTTCCACTTGAGAATGAGGGCTATAGTTACTCGAATACGGCAAAGTCATTCAAAGATAAACTTGCAAAGCCAAGCATTTTTTGTGTTTGTTTTTTTCTTTGAAAAAAAGAAGCCTTTTCATGATTTTCTTATAAAGGAAACGAAATTTCTGGAAAGCAGGAAGAGAAGAGAAGGGAAAAAAATAATCTAGAAAAAAAGACTTCTTTGAAATCTAGAGTCGGTAATGGGTTAGGTGAAACTCAATACTCACGAATATTCAACTCGATCAATCCGATTAAACGATGGGTGTAATACTCAACATCATAGATAAGTTGATTAAACGACGAATGTATTACCTTCGATAAAACATGAAATGTATTGATAAGAAGTTACTGATGAATTATTCGATTGGGTTTCTTCGATAAAACGAGGAATATATTGATAAGGAGTTACTGATGGATTATAGGTTATCCGATTAAGTTTGGTAAGAAAATCCTATATGTATACATGTCGTGTGTTTTATAGAGAATCCTACATGTATACGTGTATTTTATAAATACTTATTATCTCTAGTTTGTATTTAGTTGACGCATATATTTTGTCTTATAAACTATTCTTTGTCATGTTTTATATACAATTTTTTATTCGAAAATAGGGATAATTATTCGATCTTCTTTTGGGAGATTGTTAAATTTACCTTCATAAAATGTTAAATTTCTCTATGGCTCTACTCAAGTTTAACAATTCAACATTTACTATGATGTGCATTGATTTTACTTTGATAAAGCTAATTCCCATTTTATGAACTATTTAGATTAGTGGGTGGAGGGTACTTGATGAGTAAACCAAACTTAAAAAGCGACTGCTGGGCGGGCGGTCATATTTAAAGCTCCATAGGCAGCCGAGAGAGGGGATAAAGAGAGAAGAAGGCTCTCCTACTCGAGCGCGAAAACCCAAACTTGTTAAGCTTCAATCAATCGACAATTCAACATCCTCCTCCCAAGAAGAAGATGAGTACTATGAAGTTTTGCCGTGAATGGTCAGTCCACATTGATCCGCTCTTACCTATTTTTCTTCCTCTATTTTTATCTGTCAATTAACTGTGTGAATGTGTGTGTTCTACGTTCGTTTGTTTGTCTGGGCTTATATAATTAAATTCTCAATTAAATTGATAAATTTGCTAATATGGGCTTTTTTGTTTTGTTTTAAATTTGCTAATAATGTAGCAACAACATTCTGTACCCGAAGGAAGACAAAGATCAGAAGATTCTCCTCTACGCTTGCCGTAACTGTGATCACCAGGTTTCCGTTCCCTCCTATCTCGAAGGGTTCAGGGTTTTTGTTTTTATGCTTAAATTCTTTTTTTGGTAAGTTTTTATGCTTAAATTCAATCAGAACTGTTAGCTGTCTTTGATTGTGTAAAATAAATTCATTCCTTCGTACAGCTTATTTTTTTATCTTTCCCAACCTTTTTTTTATCTTTTTTTTTAATAGTGTTGGTAGCATTTTGTTAAAGCAAGATAGTTATGATTTTGAGTCTAGCAGTCAAGCTAGTTAGGAAAATACGGGCAACCGGAGGTTTCACATCTCCGTGAAAAGTAGTTTCATACTGGTATTTGGGTGCGGTAGAATGGAAAAAAAAAAAAAAACCATTTTTATAGGCAAGCTCCCCTGATTTTTTTGGATTGAGATCATGATTTGAACTTTTCTCTCAGAATAACTCTCTGTTTTCACATTGCTTTTTCCAATGAAGCATGGATGAACAATGTTACCATAACCATATCTTTCATTGCTTCTCCATCCATCTTTGTAAAATAAAGGAGGGTTTTTCTTAATGACCCCTTTGCCTTCCAAGGGCTTTCGTTGCTGAATTTGCAGCAATTTAAATTTCAGTTCCTTTATGTAACTTTTTGGGTGGCTCTTATTGGTTAGTATGGGGTCATTGAGGCTGACCTATGTAATGCAGAATCTCTTGTTTTACCTTGCTCCAGTGACCAACTCTATTTGAGTAAAATCACTTTTGACAATCCAAGTATGTTTTGACTAAATTTTTTCTGCCTCAAGTGGCCTTGCTTCACACCGCATATTTTCACTTTTCTAACTGCTTCAAGTAAGTAATTAACCAGAATATTAGCTAGCGTGCAATATTAATTGCAAGTGATGTTAAATACTGTTGTCTTTCTACTGTAGCTGTTATATGTCTCCCTTGGTAAAATAAACATTATTATATGATGAATGAACTCCTGAAATTCTGGGTGAAAAATATTTGTTGATTGGTTTTTCTGCTTTGTCCTTCCACCACCATGTCGGCGGACATGTTAGTTGATCTAGAGAAAGGATAGCTATCATTTCCTTGAGTTGAGTTACCGGATGCTAAGTAATAAGTGGGTCATTTTTTACCTCATAAGAATCTTCTTGACTCTGTATAGGAGGTTGCAGATAACAATTGTGTTTACAGAAATGAAATACACCATAGTGTTGGAGAGCGAACCCAAGTCCTGCAGGATGTAGCTGCTGATCCAACCCTTCCACGTACCAAGTCGGTGCACTGTGCTCAGTGTGGTCATGGAGAGGCTGTTTTCTTTCAGGTGACTTTCTTAACTTCAGATTCATGCTACTATACGGCTAACTTTACTAGTTATTGCCGCTCCATATTGCTTGTTCCAAGTCTCTGCTGTGACGCGCTTGAGCTTGGCTGATGTCTTTGTCTCAAGAGTTGCATGGTCTGGGCATTTGCATCTGGCTTGACTTAATAGAAATAGGTGCTTTTCCCTTCTAAAGATTGTTTGTTTTATGTGATGTTGATATCAATTCCTGAGGTTGAAATGCATATTGTCTTTTCTTTAGATTTTGACAGTTATGGCTGCTATAGATTGGTGATATAAGGAGTTGTATATATATGTGGAGTCAATATGACTGTAGCTTACTCTCTCGGTTGTTTTGCATTAATTTGGTTTGAGATCTTAAGGAACAAGCCAAACTGTTTCAATTCTTGACCAGAAATTGAAAGCTTCTATAAGGTTGTTGGCTAGAAAATTTATGCTAAAAATCCTGGTGTTTTAATCCTAGTGTAGTCAGAAATAGTAGTATGGGTAGTAGATTTCTCGAACTCTTGATACTTGAATGATGTTTTACCATTTTCATTGTTCAACAATTTTACAGGCAACTGCTAGAGGGGAAGAGGGTATGACGCTGTTCTTTGTTTGCTGCAACACAAACTGTGGTCACAGGTGGAGAGATTGAAATTCATGTCTAACCAGTGGCATAGTTGCCAAGAATACTGCTGGATTAGCTATAGAACAATTCTAGGAAAAAGACTGACGGTATGAATCAGTGTACTTTTCCAGTTATCTCTTTTTAAATTCTGTACTGGAAATCTAGGTTAAGTCTTTCACTTTCTGGATCAGCAACTAGTTTTTATCCTTAGCATGGAGCGGGGTAAAAACATTGATTTATGCATAAGATTTTAGAACACATGATTCGATGGAAATTAGTAACTACCGCCCATAAGTTTTACCCGGGTGGAATTTTGAGCAGGAATCCATATTATATAGGGGGAAAATCGTAAGCGGTCGTGGCTGGATATTCCCATTTGTCCTGTGGTTAATACGGTAATAGGCCACAAAATCTCTTATCAGTTAAGTTCTTGTACTAAGCCTGAATATCAGCGTTTAAAAGGTACTTTTATGAAGCTTAAATAGATCACACTGAACAAGTAGAATAGTCACATACCCTGGACATTTGGTGCCCTAAGTAAAACAGAACGAGAAAGCTCACAGAAAAAAAAGCGTTCCATGCAAATCTAATTGAACCAGAAAGCTCAAAGCAATGAAGTATTGCATGCAAATGTGATTGAACCATGCCAATACAAGATACAAGCAATAGAGAAACGTTAAAAATATTGTACCAATTGATGCCAATTCTCAATGTCAAAAACATACAAAAATGCATGCGTTGGAAGAAGCATTCCAACAACCAGCAAATTATAGATTCCTAAATTAGTTTCCCCTAAACAATCAACCATATAAAGGCAAACCAATTTTCTCTTTAGCTGGAGCTGCCCTATCCTAGCCAACGAAATGAAGGAGAGCAAATCATAAACTGAAAGAGGAATGTATATATACAAGATGACCAGCTTGGCCTAAAAGCCTAACGTCAGATGAATTTTCTACAAAATTGTGTCCCCAAAAACTACAATCAGCACAGTATCCGTGTGAACCAGTCAGACAAACGTCTAACTTTTGCTAAACCATCAGCATTTCTTCCGAAATAGGACTCGGCATTTGACAGCAGTACTTTAACATCATGCTTCATTGCATCTAAACTTCTATAATAGTTGTTCTCTAATCTACTCTGGATCACTTCAAGAGACGACGGAACTGGGAACCTGCAGATCTCCATTAAAATACTTGTCAGTGTGACCTTCAACAAAATAACAATACAATCTACATTGGATTTGCAATCAAGATATCCATTAATGCATCTGCAAAGATGGAGGGCTTGATGGCCTCTTCACTGTAACTCCCTGGACCTCACCAGTAACAATACAACTAGTGATAAAAAATGCAAGCAGTTCCAGTTCCATGATCACATGTTAAAAATTAATTTCAAAGACGCACCTGTTAATAAAACTGGCTTTTTGAGAAACTTCTCTCAATTTTTGCACCCCATAGTAGTCCTGCAGATCAAACAAACCATCAGAACATTCCATATTCAAACCAAGCCATATGCTCCTTTCCAGCAGAGAATTTATATGGTTACCCGATTCTTAATCACAGATCGCTCCAGCTTGGCAAAAGCAGTGAGCAGCTTGTCTCTAATATCTACATCAATATGAGGCTGCTCCCAATGTGTATCAGCATCATACAGTTCCCAAGGACTATGTTGATGTGTTTCCCTGGGATCACTTTTGTACTGAACCACATACCTTTCCCATGGACTGTCTGGAAAGTCAGGAGATTTAGGTTTTACAGTCAAAATCCGGCCTTCCCACCAACTACCATCTTCCTCACCCTCATTTTTCCACCAAACTTGGCATTTATCCCGAGAAGTCCACTTTCTCGAAATGGCAGCATCATATCTACTTCTCTCAACAAGAAAGTCAGGGAAGCTAGTCACTTCAGGCAAAACCAGTCTAAACGATTTACCAACTACACTAGATTCCGGATCTACAAATTTAAGTAATATTTTACAGCAGCTCTCGCCAGAACCACCAATTGTTGAGTACTCGAGCTCTTCAACCTTGCAAAACTCCACAGCTCTGATGTGGCCTTTGAGTGTACTCCAAGGGCCCAAATCCTTTAAATGGCTGTAAGCTATATACTCTTGGTGCCCCTGAGGAAACAGCAAAGCACATGAGAATGAAGACAGAATATATACCAGGAGTATACCAATCTACAATAATTTACTAAATGAAAACTCAAATTAACCTGTCTCAAATACACAACATCATCCGCTTGCTGGGGAATATACCGGAAGCCCTCCTCATGTGTTGACAACAATAACCATGAACTTCTTGTTGATTGAATTGGTTTCCTTTTATCTGGTGGACTAGCTTCACGATCATAATAACTACTTCTTCTGTTTCTGGTCGATCTTAATCCCATAACAGGAACCTTTGCACCCATTCCTTGTTCTTCATAAGAGTTATCATCTCGATTCACTGAAGAATTTTCTGCAAAAGGTGGAGTATTTGATGAAGCACCATGGGCTTCCTTAATTTTACTCTTGCTGCCTGAAAAGTTTGAATCACGAGCAGTTGACCTCAATCTGATGGACCTGGCCTTTCTGATCCCTTCAATTTGCAAAAGATTTCCGTCATCTGTGCTAAGATCATCTGCAGCTGATGACCTCAATCTAATGGACCTTGGCCTCCTGACACCTTCAGTCAGTGCTTCGTTTTCATCATGTAAATTATGATCTTCTCCAGCTGAAGTACTGGCTCCATTTCCGTTGTCATGTTCTTGATTACTTCTACCCCTCAGAGACTTTGACCTTCGATAAACAGCACTGAACATCCTATTTTGAGGAGGCAACTGATGCAAGTCCAGCAACACAGAATTGGAAGACCTACCAACCTGATCATGGCTTCCATTTTCTGAATTAGGTAGTCTGGTCTCTTCATTGACAAGAGGGCCAGAACTTGAGTTCTTCCTAACGTCTGAACTTTCAGACATGCAACAAGAATTGTGCCCAGAACCCTCAAATGATGATTGACCCTCTATCTTTCCAGAGCTTTCATGATCACTAGTAAAGATTCTTGACTTAATGCGCAGCTTTGTTGGCATTGTGACAGGTTTCTCTAGCAATTTAAAACTGTCATCTTTCCCATTAGTAAGTTGAATGGAAAGTCCAGTTCTACCATCAATCACCTGCTTAGATGATGATTTTTCAATGTCCTTTGAGTCAATCAAACATGAATTTGAATCGATATTCTTAGCTTCAGAATTATTAAGAATGCTGGCACTAACTTCATCCTTGTTTATTTCAATCATTTCATCAGCCTTACCTCCGCTTTGGAAGGCAGAAGCAGATGAAATTGTTTCCACTTCATTCCCAGTGTGCACGGTACCAGCATTTTCTGTCTTGTCGTGTCCATCAAGAAATGGAATAGATCCAGCATGTGCAACTGAAGACATTGATTCACCCATCCTTGAACGTTTAGAAGTGCGAGTCTTTACCCCTCCCCAACCAATATTGCTTTCTTTGCACCCTTCAAGCAAGTCTAAACAATGTTGAACCTTTGCAGGTTGGCCTGTATGGCTTTTATCCATTTCACCGCCATGTCCATCACTAACAGGGTACTTGTGATCGTGTGTAAAACTTTTCCCCTCATCTGCAGGTGTAGGAGCTGTAGATGATGGGCCTGCACAAACACGCTGGCTTTCAGATTCAGGGACACCATATTTTGGAGTTAAAAATTTACTTGCATCACGGTTTGGCAATTTTAACACTAATCTTCTCTTAGCTCCAGCATCTAGATTAAGCTTTGACCGGAGATCACGTTTATCCAAATCCTCAGACTGATCGACAGAAATTTGTTTTCCTTTCAAGTTCTCTCCTCCTTCATTTTGCAAAGATAAATCCGAGTCTTCACTGACAATGCTTGAATCATCAAGTATGGTTTCAGTTCCTGATGAATCACCTTCAGTGGTATATTCTTCTTCTAAATCTGCTGATGTTCCTGTAATTCGGGAGAATAAATGAAGAGCATTCCTGGCAGCAGCTCTCTGAGGTCGTAAAGACTTAGATAACGATGACCTTTTCCTTGAGACTTTACGACCAAGTTTTGATTTTCTACTACGACTAATTACAAGGGAACTATCACCATATTCATCCAGATTCTTCCTCTTAACACGTCTTCCAGAAGATGTAGTGACCTCAATCTGGGTAGTTAAAGAAATAAGATGTCATTATCTGTTCCCAAAATATGCTGTCAAGAAATAAGATGAGAAAAGAAACTTACTTCGGCCTTCTGTTTTTTCCTTTTTGACCTTCGAAGGCCATCTTTATGGGAATCCTCAGCCTCACTGTCATCTCCACTACTCTCTAGGTCACCAGAAGAAACAGAAATTAAGCTTCCTTGTTCCCCTCCAGAAGAGATTTCCTCAGTTATATGATACTCTGAATCAGTATCATCACTTTGTATCTCAATTTCTGGTTCCCAATCCCTAACATCTAGAAACTCTGGAAGTGGATCAATCAAAACGTCCAAGTCTGCTATGGGAAGCATTTGGTAATCTTGGTCCAGGCTGATATCAGCTCCAACAGCAAATTTTACAGAAGAAGGGCGCCATTCAATGCCCAAGATTCCATGCCGCCGTTGTTGGTACATGCTCTGATAAGGCTCAGGATACGGAAGCAAGGCTGCAAAAAAGAATGCATCGAAAACCAGCACTAAGATATACTCTTTACTTTCTATCCGATACAAAGAGGAATTTTAATTAGGAAAATCTAAGACAAGCTGCACTTAAAAAACTGATAAGCAACAAACTAAGATGAAGAAAATCATCTGGGAAGAAAGAAAAGAACAGACCTGAATCACAAAGAAGATCTTGCATATTCCTTCGGTAAGGTAAAAGCTGAGTTTCCTATACAAAATCACTAGAAGTCATCATCATCGTCCTTGATAAAATAAAACAAAAAAAAATCCTCTATTATGCAAATCAATTAATAATCATTATAAATATCATAATAAATAAATATCACATTCATGCAATCATTATTACTAAAAACCAATGAAGAGGAATAGCTTTTCTGTCTGTCATCTACCCTCTACAAACTCTGAGAAGTAAATCAAAGGAAGCATGGTAAAAAAAATAAAGTAACAAGGTAACAAATGCAGAAGAAGAAGTAACGAATAACCTGGTCAAGAACATTTCCATGTGTATCTTGAATAAGTGGTCGATAGTCCCCTAAGAAGAACTGCAAACAGACATAAAGGAGATTACCAATTCATCAAACAGAATAGTAAAGGCAATGAAATCAAGAATGGCCTTGTACCCTGCTATTAGAGGCTGAGTACACAAGCACGTACGTGCGCGTGCACACACGTGCCTATGCCAAATTAATGTGGGAGTTAGAGTGGGGTGTTTAGATTTTTTTCCCAGAGTTACCCTCACAATAAAATTTAATGACTTTCTTGTGTCTCCAATTATGAATGCTTTCATTAGAATTGTTGGGGCTATTTATGAAACAGCGACATTGTTTTTTGGTTTTAGAAGTAGAAGGCAAATTTCCTAATGTAATAAGACTCTGAATTGGAATAAGATTATTGAGCAATGACTTTTAGAAATTAAACATTATTAAACAAGAAAAGAAAAATAATTTCTTGAAAAACAACGAAAAGGAAAATTTCCAACAACGAATTTAATTTGTTTTTTCATTGTAGTAGAATAAAAAAAAAACATGGAAGATCAGTTGAACAAGTAGAGGTGATACATCTTGGGGATAAAGAAATGGCAAGAAAAAAAGGAAAAAGAGAAAATAACTAAACAAGTCGGAGGGGAAACAAGGCAGCAGACATCAATAGTATGAAAGAGTAAATCTTATAGGATCACAGATAACTACTTTAGGCTCCTATAAAAAGAAAAGACTTGCTCAATTTTTAAATTGGGAAAAAAAAGAGAAAAAAACAAAAACAAGTTGAACACAAGCATAGAGTCGAAGAAGAACTAAAGACATAGAACAAGTCCAAACTTACAACCAATTCCAGGTTCTTACTCTCCCATTCTCATTCCGTAGAATACGGTAAGACTTTGGTGTCATGTCAATTTGAGATTTCTTATAAGTAGACGCAGGTTTTTTTCTGATCAACCAGGTAGCCATATTTTTAACTAAAAGGGAAGACAGCATAAGTACTTAGGTGAATATGTGAATTCCTTTAATATATTGTGTAGTTTAACTAATAGTAGGACATAGGAAAAGTTTGGGAAATGCTACACAAAAGTTTTTTATTTAATGATTGAAGAAGTTTACTAAGGTAGTAGAATTTCTTTGAAGTATTGTGGGTCTAAGACTTTCGGTAGTTTTTTGCCCATATGTGCTCAAAATCTACTTAACTAACTTAAATTGTTTTCCAAATTTCCTTCATTTTCTTGTGATTATTTCCTTGGCATGCAACACTGAGCAGGCGCCATGACTTCTCTAATCACCATAGCAACTAATAATGTGATAAATGCAGCAATCCAGTGGTGCAGCAAAGACCAGAATAATCACCATAGACCCAAACTTTTGAGTATTCCACCATGCAACGCTTGTATTCCCAAACTAGTATTACCAAACATGCCACTGAAAAGATGTGATGATCTCATACCTGATCATATTTGGCATCCATTTGGGATTCTCCCTGCCCAGTGCTAAGTATATACAGTTGGCCAACATCATCAGAGAGAATAATTGATGTTCCATCCCTGAAAAAAGTTTCATTTAGACCAATATACTGTATAATTTGTGCCTTTTGCATATGAGCATGGATCTCAGAAGTGATTCAAAGAACTGGATTTTTGGTCTTTTCCATGATAAATTCAACTAAATTAAGATGCATTCTAATTATTCATTCCAATGCATTCAACAGATGAACCACATAACTCCAGAAGCCATAATAGACTCAATGGACTGATCAAACTGCACAGGCATTTTTAAACAACATCCCAACATGCAGAAAAGCTTTTGACTACTTACAACTCTAAAGAGAAATGAACAGATACCACCAAACCAAAAAATAATAACCAAAGAAGGGAAAATAGGAACTAAGCTGTAAAATTCATTAACTCACGGAGAAAATTTTCCATCAACCAGCTTAAAGCGTCCAATTTCATAAGTACGAACAGGTGTGCCTTCCCATATCTACATGGAGAGAGAGAGAGACACGAATTAGCATGAAAAGCCTAAAAGAGAAACAATTGAGAGATGTCAAAACCATCCGGTTTATACTTACATCCCAGACAATCGTTTTCCCATCATATCCCGCACTCATTGCTATTCGAGGGTTAAAAGGATGAACGTCTAAAACATAAGTCTGCAAAAATCACGACGACTGTCAGGTGTGGCTCGGTGACAAGACAAGCAACAAATAGCAATGAAGCAAAGCATAAATTGTAGAGATGCCACGTAACAGGACAAGGGCATAGGCAGGAAATACAGTGAAAGATTCAGGACAGGGGATTTAGCATATGAAGTTAGATCTTCATAGGACCTTAACAACTCTCCACCAAAGGCACCAATCTCAAATTATTCATGTTTTCACAGTTCGATTATTCATACAAATGTTATAGGTGAACAGAGAGTTGAAATTTTATAAATATACAAGGCACAAGCAAGAACCTGAAAAAGTAGATAAAATAACAGTTATTTTGATGCAAATCAGATTACTTTCATAGCGAAAGACAATGCAATAAAAATGATTGCATATGAAATGAAAACCTCCTGTTAGCATACATATATTTTAAAAACAACATAGTAAGACAATCAAAAATGAAAAGCAAATGCGACATTCCCAAAAAAAAAAGAGACTATTTGATCAAGTAGCACATCATATTGGCTTTGTTTGGTTGGCGAACTTATTAAACCTAAACTGAAGAAATAAAAAATTTATCAATTAACCAGCCAACCAATAAAGATCCAGAGGTAATAAAACTTTTTCACCAGCACTACAACACTGACTTGAGCAATTCAGTAAGAAAGAGCCAACGAAGTGTTCAGAATTCAAAAAATATTAAATGAGTAAATAAAGCCTATATATCACAAAGTAATTGTCACAAAAAAAGTCTTCATCAGTGAAAATTGGAATTCCTCAGATGAGAACCATGTACACATTAAAAATAAAGATAAAAATTAAAAAACAACTGGAGAGGATATATATGTGTAATAGTAATAAATGGGAAACAGTTGCTAAATTTTCAATAGGTATTGGAAGACCCAACGGATTCTTCCAATGCATCATTTTTCATTCCAATGGAATTCACAGGCATACGAAGAAGTCCTATGAAATAGAGATTTTTGCTTTTGACCATATTTTGATTGTTAATACAATATATAAGGACCACTACCACAAAGAGTATTACACCCTTGATCATGAAATATCGATTGCTTATTGAACCCTGCAAACGGCATGCAAGTAGGATACTCCAAATTCAGCTGTTGAAGAGTTTTATAAAACGTTCTTGGTGGAAAAAAAAAGTGAATGAAAGATCCCACTGAATTGAATTGGCTCCATGAATCTAAGAAATAGTGAGAATTCCTGATCTCTCTCACTATATCTATCAATTCGAAAATCCAGGATTTGATTTGATGTCCTTTCATTGATTCCTGCTAAATTGCATTGATTTATCCTAAAGATTTCATTTCAATTGGAATTTGGTTATTCACCATGTGCGAGCACCCCCGCTAAGCATCCATGGCTGAATGGTTAAAGCGCCCTTTACTCTAGTACACCTTTGATACCAAAGCACACAGATCCACTATTTGTGTAAAGTTCAAGATGTAAATGGTGTCTTATCATTTATATGCAATATAGTTTCTATCTTAGTTATCATTTAAATATAAGATCTACCACTAAATAGCAGCAAAAACTCTAGAGTTTGCATCTATGTCCAAAAACTACACTAGGCACAAAGCGAGAGAGAGAGAGAGAGAGAGATAAATGGCTTACTGATTCAGTGTGGCCTGTCAAAGAATGTACTAAGCTACCGTCAGCAGCATTCCAGACACATATTCTGCAATCTGCCACATGGAAAAGAAATCATTCTGCACCAAACAATCTTATAGAACCTAGACGTGGTAGAGAATAATATGATAACAACATTAGGGATCTAAATATTAGAGCCTCCATTATGCACAGGGAAATTGGAGCAGGATGCAGGATTATATTTTCTTGAAAAACAATTTTCAAAAGTAAAGATCAACTGCCAAAGACCTTTGTTGAATAACAACCTCCATTTTTCAAAGTTGTGAAGCAAACACACATGGGTCAACTTCATGGGAACCAAGTGCAAAACAATTTAGATGGCAGGAAAGTGCAAAAATATGACTCCAGAAAGACATTGATACCAACGAGCAACATACCCATGATAGCAGCGAGGACAAACCGATTGTCCAAACTCCAGACTATCATATTAACACCACGAGGAGTTGGAAGAACTCTTTGACGAGGACCTCCCCTCGGTGGTTGAGGTGGCATAGGTGGTGGCGGAACTTTAAGATGATATGCCCGTGTCCATCGGCCAATTTTACCCTAAAATTAGAAAATTAGTGGACTGTAAGCCAAAATTCATTAAACCACAATATAAAGGAGTATATAAAGCAACACTACTTTAGCCCCTCAAATGAAATCTCTTGGCCAAGCTGACAAATTGAGAAAGAATGAAAAGCTTGTCCTTTATTAGCAAATGAGAGGGCTAGGAAAAGGATTGTTTCCCCAAATTACTACAAAAAATAACTTGGACAAACTCACATGTGATCTACGAGATCTTGGAATCCATATGATAGCACTGCCATCGCGAGAGCAGGTGACGATGTTGTCCTGGTTATACCTGAAGGAGAGTAGTTAGATTGGACCTAACGCAAAGAATGCAATTATCTAAACTAACACAATAATTCATCAAGATATTCTAAACGGCAAATAGACTATCTACATCTCTTTGTCAAGACATGAGTACACACCAAGTGTTTTTGAATTTTGGGATGTTTTCTTCTTTTGAAGTATCAGAGACTGAAAATCTAGATGTCACAGCACAGCCACTGCATGATGAGAAAAAAAGATTATATATGACAAAGATTAATTCATTGATCACAGTCAATGTATCAGGGAAGACGGACCTAAATTGGACATAGTTTACATCATTCTCATGTCCAGCTAAAACATCCATCTCATGATTAGGTAGTCCTGACTCCTCTGCATTGCCCTTGCAAGCATTCCAAACCTAGAGAAAATCACGTTCACACAAGGAAACTATAAGGTTTGCTGATCTGCAAGAGTTATGCATATATATAGACACAAATACAGCTTACCACTAAATCAACTGTAATAACATCCACAAGTCATCAATTGCAACAAAGGAACAACAGAGAGAGTTACAGTAAAGAATGATTGAGCAAAGAATCATGATCTACAGGAGTTTTGGCAGATGATAGGTGTAATTGGGTTCAACCCAAGTCATCCAATTAGTCAATATGACCCATCAACTTTTCCCTACCACTCACAAGACATGCACAACTTCTGAATGCTTTAGAAAGAAAACGAATAAAGCACAAAAATAGCAAATAAACACACTTTTCGTCAAACTGGGTTATGAGTAAGGGACTGTCATGTGATTTTGATGATGGTTAAATCCCTAATGGGAAACTAGGAATCTGTTTCAATTCTGTTTGGACTTTTTGCATTTTGAATTCAATTAACTCAGTTTCCGGGTTATTAAAATCTTGACTTGTGAGTCTTTAAATGGTTCTTGCAACTTTGGATGCTTAAAATGAGTACAGCACAGTAAGCATATTTTCAAGTAAAAATTATCAGATTTGAGGAGGGTTTCAAAAATGGATTGGTTTCTATCACAATATGAGACCATACAGAGGTCGTGAGGGATGGCTTCTGGCACTGACAGTGGGATTACCTGCTGGTGATGTACAGAGGATGAGGAAGCTACTAAGGCTGTGGAAGTAAGGGGAGGAAGAAGAAGAAATGAACAAAGAAAAAGCAAATTTGATTATTGGAGACAACACCATGAGGAAACTTGTGAAAATTGGGGGGGTGGGCGGGATTGGGAGATAACAGGATGTAGGAGACTAAAATCCATCCTTAATTAACCAATGAATAATTGGATATATGCAGGACCAAATCCAATTATTTGTGGGAGAGTTTGGGTCTGTTTAAATGTAAAATCAATTGAATTTGATAGCTATAGATTCAGGTATACCCTTGCAAGAGTGTCTGAGCTTCCAGTAACAAAAACAGTTCCACTAGAGTTGAAAGCACAACAGAAGATCTGATGGCTTTGTTGGGCACTGCTTGATGAAGGACCATTGTTCTTTCCTAAGCATTTAAGACATTGTGTAAGATAATCGATAATACAATATTGATCAACTTCATTTAGTACCAGAGAAGCACAAACTAACCAGGAGCAGGATCTGAAGGTTTTGGCACATATACACGAGTACTTTTGGGGTTTGGGCATCTAGCATCCCAAATACGACACGTTCCATCATCAGAGGACCTATGATACACGTAAAATAAAGATAAATATAGTCAGTATAAATATGATAAAAAAGATATATATGTTTTACACAGACCAAATCCACATAATATGAACTCAACATTGTCCATGTGGGGAAAGGCAATAGATAGGAAGGTTTTAGATTGCAGAGGAGAAAATATAATTATGTTTAATAGCACGGATATGGCAAACTCATGTTTGAGCAGTTAACTCCATTCATCTTTCATTTAGTTTTTCTAAAATAATTTTCACTTCCTTAACTGGAGATATTATCCAATAATACGAGGAGACAAGGGCTTTTCGTTTCCCCACCATTACAGCTATCAGACCTCATTGAATAAACAGGTAATCTCAACCCTGCACCACTTTTACATGGATTTTCCCTTAAGATTTAATAAAGTGACTTTTACAGCCACTAAGTTTTCACTTTATATGATATAACCCTTTCTTTTAGGCCACTTTCACATGATATAACGTTGTTCCTTTGGAGTTTTTGTGCAGCTAACTTGTCGGGAGAGAGGTAGTCAACGCAGTGTGTATATGTCAAAGTTCAGGATCTAATTAAAGTTTGAGTTGTGATCACCTATTTTCTATGCTCGTAGAGGAGGTCAAACCAGAAATGTACACTGTGTGACCAAGCCCTAATCTTCCCAATGACCTAAACAGCAAAAACATCGAGGAAACATTAGCTTTTTTAGCAAAATGAACATGTTTCATTTGGGACACAGGTAACTGAAGATAATTACCACAATCCGACAAAATATAGCTTTATCCAAATTGTTCCAGTTATATCTTTCAGCTTCAAGGAGAAAGTGGTCTTTGCCGTATTTCTCTCATGAACAATGTCAGTAACAACTCCATAAAGACTGAGGCCAGTCATCTTGTCATGTAGATCAACTACAAATGACTGCAATACTTCAACAGCATAAGAGAGATTAGTGGCAAAACTGAAATTTAGGGAATTGACACGAGCATATTGGTTTTGTAATGGACATATCCAGAACATTCTGAGGTAGGCACAGTTATAAACCCAAGAAGATTTTTATCCATTGTGCTTATTTAAATGGGATACGTCATCTATGAATTCACATAAAGCATCAGGTGTATTTAAAGGCATAATAAAAACACAGGAATGACAAATTTATATTTATGCTCAATGTGCATGCATATGAACACAATCCAAGTTGGTTTCAAAGTATGAAGAATGGAGGGAAGTATTCACAACGATACTAATAATGGTCATTGTCTTCTTGATTAATGATGTCATTAATGGTCATTAAATGACATACCTATCAAGTATGAAGCATGATTTGTTACATGTGAAGCTAAAACATAAAACTGAAGACCAAATCTTTTTTATTTGGTAAAGAAATATAACAGATGAGTATTACAACTCCATTTACCAGGAAAAGGCTAAATAATGCATTAGAAAAGAAGATTGAATTTACCCTGGATATCTAATCCAATCTCAATTTTTTATATGAAGAAGCTATTTCACAGATAAAACAATTCCTACAACAATAAATTGTTTTCAACATCCATAGATTCTGCCAAATTGTTGCAGAACTTACCCGAAATGGACAAAGACTGAAGTCAATAGATCCTTGAGAATCACAAGGCAGGGTCACTTGGGAAATGACAGATCTCTGATCTGATAGATTTAATAGCTTTGATCCTTGAGAACGGCTCTGTGTCAATGATACAGATACCTAGATCCCCCACAAGTTAACATTGTATTCATCATTGGACATGTTAGTTGCATAAAAAAATCCAAGACTTACTCGTTCCTCATGTTGGATAGAAGGCACCATAAAAAGCTGCGTTGCACTGCCATATTCAAGGAAAATTTCTTCACATGTTTCGATTTCACCATTAGAAGAACTTGCAATAAATGGCCTATCCAGGGCAAGCATACTCCCAACACTGAAAAGCAGCTAAATCATGTTGATGTAGAAAAACAAAAACAACAAATCTGAATCCCGAAGAGGTACCTGAATAGCTTGGATAGCATAACCTGCTCACCCCACAGCAGAAACTTTAGCTTGACACCATCGTTATCAACAAGAGTAATCTGCTTCTTCTGCAAATTACCATACTTCTGTGTTTCCAAAGATCCAATTGATTCAATCCTGTCCTCAAATAAAAACACAACTAGTTATAGTAGTTCTAGGTGCAACGTAAATTAAAATGCCAAAGACTTTAAGGACTTAAGAGCAAAGCAAAAAGAAAAGGTGCCAGTCAATTGAAATATGAAGTCAAAACGGGGAATAAAGAAAGGAAAAAGGAAGATTGGCAGAAGAAATGGAAAAGATGGGGGAGAGAGGGGACGAAAGGAAACTGACACACTTGACAGATCTTTGTGCCCATGTTCTTTTAAGCAGAGTCTTTATTGATTTGCTCAATCACATGTCAAAAGAAGCTAGGCCAACACTTGACAGCACTTTGAACTTATTAAAGTTGAGCACGCTTTGACTACTATACCATTCAGCAATAATATGCTAAAGTCTGAGAGCAGGAATTAAGACGGTGTGTAAAGCTGACATCCATCCTGTCTGTTAATGGACGGCCTTTTCTCAGGACATACTTTCATTATGTTCCCATCATGGAAAAGCAGATGAGGCACAAGCCAATTCTCAGAGCTAAAACTGTCTGATGTACTTAAAGAAGTGGGCCAGTTGGCGAGATGACTGATTTTATATATACCAACTTCAGAGAAAGTAGCATCAACTTCGTTTAAAACTGAAGTACACAAGACAGACTACAAATTATGCTGCCACATCTTACCTAGCATACAATGAATAAGAGACCCCTTCTTTAACAGCCTCAAGAGAAATGGAAGAGAAGGAATCTGAACAAAACTGTGCTCCAATTAGCATCGCATCATCGTCTTGGTCCTGCATCAAGGATAAATTTAAAGTCAACACCAGAAACAGAATATGAAATCTTAAAATCAGACCAAGTGCATATATGTCACAGGACTCCTGAAATTAATAAGCATGCAAATGCAAAGATAAAGCATGCAAAACTACACTAGTTTGTGCTAGCAAAGATCAACATCCATAAAAAGGTCAATCACAAGTGGATAAGCAAAGAAATCCTCCAAGACCTCATCTAACAGCACCACAAAATATTCAGTTGGCAGAAGTCGTGCCTGGCCACAACTTTTGCTGGCAGTTCGAAGATGGCATCCAGTTAGAAAAGCTTCTCGGCCCTTCTTCAGAATTCCATTGTTAGGATCAGCTAATTTGTAAAACCTGCTACAAAAATCCTTGTTAGACATCTTAGTAGATCAACAATGTACAAGATGCCGTACAGCAATGATAACATTGATTTAAATGATGACTAATGTGCTTAGTCGCTGAAAGTTCACCTTTGCAAAGAAAATATCCCAGCTTTAATTTAGTTATAGAATTAGTCTACTAATAACAGTCTGCTAGTTGCTTGTGAAGAGGTATGGTAACCATTAGCAGCATATGAAAAAAGAGAAGAAAAAGGATTCACAAGCATAAAGTTGGGCTAATTCACCACGTTAACAAATTGCCATATAATGTATGGTACACTCATTTAATATGCAGTGCAGTTCATTTACCTACGGTGAAGATACAGATCAATGGTGTTAGAGCTCCAAAAGTCACCCAATGTGATCATGCATATGTTGGTTCCTGAGAGAAACTTAACAAATTAAACATGACTACCACAGCATTAACACTTACTACTACAAGCAGGGGCAGGAAACCCATAGCTTGGAAACTGTTGGAAAAGAACTAAGCAGTAACGCTAAATATGAGTTGCCTCATTATAGACAAAATTTTCTCAAGTAATTTAACGCCTTTATTTAGCCCGAGAACTTCATTGCACTGTATATCAATGACAGTTAACTATTAGCACAAGCCCGGAAAGTTGTAGGTGAAAAGTTTGTTCATAGTGCATAATAGAATAGATCCCCAAGATTTTTATATTCAAAGTGAATTTATTGAGCCATTTTGTGGTAAAATAACAAAAAAGAAATGCAATTGAATGGCACGGCTCATGTTGTACCCGGAAGACAGTAAGCATCTACAATGACAGCTTCAATTACACTAGTCAAGGATAAGAATCTTTTCTCGTAAATTGAGTCAATTGTAACAGTGCTAGGAAGCTTTGCTCTTCTGTGCTTCTCCTTCAACTGGTTAATGCATTCAGGCCTCTTTTTTGGAGCTCTCCCCCTATTCTGCTCATTCCAAGCCTATAATCATACATAAACACACATATTAGCTGGGCAAAAACAAAAAAAAGCTGAAGAATGCCATAGAACGTGAAAAGTTGTTCGAAAAAGTGTCCTTATTCTGCAAATCAAATTCCAAAAACGTTCCTTATATAGACATAATTGTATAATTTATATCAATCAGAAAACATAGTATGTTTTTCCTCTTTCATGCAAATGATCTTTATTATTACTCAGAGAGTGCTATAAGATAAAATGTAAAAACCAAACTTATTTAGAACCTATTTTCTACGTGAATCTACAAAGCTAATAAAACGTGGAAATTCTGGACAAAAGTTCACAAATATCTATGCAATTAAGTCAAACTAATAACTCATATACGTAACAATTTCACATACACAATCCAGGCATACCACCGAGATGCACAAAATTCATCAAATTAACAACATGTATCTCTACTAATTTTCAAGTATACTGCAAAGACACGCACGTTTTACCTATAAAACTTGTCTAATTAACAACAAATACCATAGCAATTTTATATACTCTACATACACACACACACCGGAATGATGTACACATACTAAGCACTGATTATTCGGATGCTCAAAAGGGAAAAAAAAGATAGAGAGATAATTGAGAGGCCTATGCACCGAAGAAGACAAATATATACACGGAAAAGAATGCACGTATAGTTAATTTGAAGCTAGCGATGATAATAACTACTGATAATCAAATTTTTTCGAATATTTGGCCAAAAAAAAGAACTAATAAGAGAGAAATGCAGAGAGAATCGAGAATGGGATGGACCTGAGAGAGATCGGAAAGGAGAATAGCGGGAGTGACGCCGCTAGAATAAGCTACACAAGTTTTAAGGATCCGAGAAGCAATCCAGCTCCAACCCGGCCCGTCCGAATTGTCATTTTCGGTTTCTTTTAAAATCAACTGCGCGTAGTCAATAAATTTTAGGAACGGATCCTCTTCTTCGTCCATGTGATTTGGTTGATCTGTGATTTCCATTGATGAAGGTTCGTAGTCTATCATGCTGCTGGGAATCGCCTCAGAGAGAAAAACTCATCTGCTCTCTGAGGCAGGCACTGAAAGAGAAAGACGAATTAATAAACCCTAATCTCTGAAAGTGGGAGTGAAGTCCAGTTGGCGGGTTTTTATAGTCTTTGAACCTCCTAATAATCTCAAAATGCTTTTGGCGCGGAATCGATGCGTACATGAAGCGATGTCGTTTCATGGGCCGTGAGTGTGCGATGTGAATGAAGAGGTAAACGAGTCTTCTAGATCAATTAATTAATATCTCAACGATATTAATTAATCCCCATTTGGATTAGCTGTTTTTTAGAGTGTTTTTGAAAAAATTTACTGCAACAGAGCTTTTAGAGTATATTTTGGAATATTTAAAAGTAGTAGAGTTTTTAGAATATATTTTTGAATATTTTTTAAACATTAAAAATAATTAAAACTACTTTTTAGAGTGCCTTTTATAGTACTTTTTAAAAATTTTTATAGTATTTGAAAAACTCAAGGATCCAAACAGATTTGAACACACTCCTGTAACATCCAACCGTACACTTTTTTTTTTTGAGGCAACCGTGTACCCTCATTGAACAATAAACACTAACCAGGAGACAAATGAAGTGATGGGTAATGTACTATTTTCTTGCACCCAAATTTCCTCCTCTATAAAAATGTGCCCTAATAAATTTTTCTTAGTTTACTAATTTACTCGAGAGAACATCACTATTTAGAAATTAGAAATTACTCAACGTCGACCAAGTGTTAATGAAACCATTTTGCTTGCCAAAAGTCCATGTAAGTTTTTTACATAGACCCCATGTGCCACTTCTTTCACTTTACTTGCCAACAACATTGCATAAGAGAAATATATCCTAATACTATTGCAAAAGCATGCAAGTGATGATAAATCTACCACATAAACAAATCATAGCAGCAGTCACAAATATTAATTAGCAATTCATAGCAATCATATATATTACTTAACCAGTAATGTCTTAAATAAAGATGTTTTGGGACACCAATTCGCAAGTGATATAGTCAACAGTAGCCCATGAGAGAACAGCCATCACTGAGTGGAAAACGGGATGGGAGATGGTCATCGGCTCCTCCGCGTCGCAACTTCACGCGTAACGCCTACCTCAGCCTGCCTGATAACCTTATCCCCATAAATGTATCCATCCTTGGAGCAAACACACAACACGAACAGGTAACTAAATAAGGTTAAATAATAATAATAATAATAATAAGGGCAAATTATCCATTTGGCCCTTGAACTTTTAGTTTAGGTAAAATTAAACCCTTCAACTATTTGTAGTCAATTTTTAGCCCTCAAACTTGTAAAATTGGGAACCCGTGGCCCTTTTGGGCTAGTTTATCTGATTTTGCAACGGAAAAACCAAATCACACGAATGGTAGTATGTTTTAAAGAAGAGCCTTTTTGTCCACATAGAAATAAGTAAAAAGTGAAAAACTCCATCAATTTCTCTTTTCCTAAGGTAAAAGCTGCTACGTTGAAGGCAAAATTAGGAGAAATAGATAAGCATCTATGGTAATAGAAATGGTTGAATAAGTTTCTTGTGAGGGTACTTGTATTGAGTTGATTGATTGCTGTAATAATGATGCTTATAAAAACAAAAAGAGATGGAGTCTCGGATGGGATACTACAAATGGGGATAAATGTACTGGGATGATACTGCAAATTCGTGTGATTTGACTTTCCGGTTGTAAAACCGGATAAATTGGCCAAAAGGGCTATGGGTTCCCAATTTTACAAGTTCAAGGGTTGAAAATTGACTACAAATAGTTCGAGGGCTTAATTTGATTTAACCTAAAAGTTCAAGGGTCAAACGGATAATTTGCCATAATAATAATAATAGCCCAATTACATACCCGCTTCACTACTGCTACTAGTCCGGGTTCCCTATTTGGATCAGAAACAAAGAATGCAAGTTTGTGTTTGTTTGGATCAAACACGTCACCAGAATGTGGGGTGAATTTATTCACCCCATAGCATGGCAGAATCTAAAAATACAATTAGAAGTTGATAATCACCAATCAATTGATTCTACTTTCCTTTTTCTAAGGACATGAAAATGCATCCAACTGTTTTTTCTTGGCCTTTCTTTCGTAGAGTGGTGGGTTAGAGTTTCAATATCAAAACAATAACAGTGGTAGCAAATTAGTACTACTAACAATGCAAATACTAGACTTATTGGTCAATTGTTGTAGTGCAGCTGTTAAAACCAAAATAAACATAAAAGACGGATCAATGAAGTTCTCAACCTTAAACCTTGATCTAAACTTCTCGGATTACGCAGAAGAATTAAGAAGTAAAATGGGAAAACTTCTAGTCTGGTAAGAAAACCAAAATCCGGAACAATAGCTTTCCGCTAAACTCAGCACAAAGTCTTTTCTTTAAGAAGTAGGAAGCAAAAAATGAAACACAAGGAATTAATAACATCATATAAACATCAAGTTACCCAATTGTCGACTGTTCAACAAAAAATACTAGAAAATCATTCATCAGGCATCATACATCCCAATGGAATCGAAAGAGGCCATCCCTATTCACTACTTGATTCAAGTCATAAACAAAAACCCACATAACAGGTTGCGAAATGTGACGGCCCCACCTCACCCTAAGGCGAACCAGAGGGTTCGGCGGGCCGCCTGCCCAACTCTCGCCGGGACTCAGTCGTTCACTAAAGTCCTCAAATGAATTACAAGAATAAACCTTAAATATACATCACATGGTCCACAAATATACATCCAAGTCTCCAATAATTACATGTCACAAATGCAGCGGAAACTAATTCCTAACTATACATCAAATGATTCCAAATCCAAAACTGTACAAGATATAGGCCATCCATTCACGTGAATAAGCACAACAAGTCCTGCCTTCACCTTGAACCCTGTGGAGGGGAATAAAATATTTTTGGGGTGAGTTAGAAGCTCAGCGAGTAACCAGAAAATCAGTAATCAAATCGGTTTAACAATATTTCTTTTCAATGATGTCATAAATCAATGATGTCATAGATCAAATGATAAGTCCAGAAACGATTACAGCATTTACAAAATATTAATTTGGAGTATCAATAATTCAAGAAACATGTACAATGGAAAGCGAGAGTAACATTCATGAAAAGGATATGTTCATATTTTTATAAATAATCCCTCGTTCATCTTTTATTCGTTCATCTTTTTTTTTTCCGGACGTTGGCCGGTCTCCACCCATCCGGACGTAGCCGGACTACAAGGTAATACTCGAGTATACCAAATTCACCCAGGGTCACCATATCGCCCGACCGAGTCCGCTTCTGGCTCGAGTCGATCGGTAACGAAGGGCAGGGACTAATTCAGCCAAACGGCTTACATTCATGCGCAACTAGCATTTAATCATTAATCATTGAAAATTTCATATTTATTTAGGTCGAGTGCGATAAAGTACACACTCGCGTAGAAAGCTCGTTTTGGAAATCATTCAAAGCACTTAACACGTTATCAATCAATAATACAAGTCATGAAGTCAAGAAAATATAGCAAATAAGGAACACTCACATGCAAGTACGCATGATATGCAAGAAAACAGTTCAAAAGTAACTTTGGAAACAGTTTAAAGGTAAATAATGCAAGAAAACGGTACAAAAGTAACTTTGGAAACAGCTCAAAAGTAAAAAATGCAGGAAACGGTTCATAAATAACTTTAGAAATAGTTTGAGGTCACTCACCTCAACGGCTCAGAAATCATCCATCATGTATCATTGTCTTGCTCAAACCCAAGTCTTAGATCACAAACTCAATGCAAACGAATCCTTTAAAAATTCGGACAGCACTTCCCCTAAATTTGCTTACTTTTCCAGCCATCATGGTTTCATTATTTTCTCAGCCAGTCCCAAAGGTACACACACAACAACAAGTTCATCCAATAGCCATTCAGTAAACTCCAAGTAGTACTAGTACAAGTCAAACTAGGGAAACGTTTGGAAATGAAAGTTAAGCTCAAAACCAGAAAAACAGTTTTGACGTCATTTTGCGGTAATGGTACCAAAGGCGCTACAATTGTCGGATGAAGGTTCAAGACCCACCGTTTCGAAGCTAAGAGACAGGGCTACAATATTGCAAAAGGTCACTCAATCCAGTTTCGAGTGTAACTAGGTCAAAAGTGCAAGAAACTACACCAGAACCGGAAAAACAGATTCATAGAACGCACTCTAGCGGAAACATCATAACTCAGGCTCTCCAAGTCCAAATCCAGAAATTCTAGAACCAGCTGAAAGCTGAGAAACAGGGCTAAATTTCATCAGAAGGCCTCAACATCCAATTCGGAAGCAATTCCAGCCAAAACAACAAATTACTGTCGCAAATTCCAATTTCGGGTAAACCAGAACAGTAATAGTAATTTCGACTTTTCTCACTCTACGCTACTCCGATTGACCTGAAATTTTGTAGGCACCTCTAAAATGTCATTCCCTACAACTTTCATGTTTTAAGCAAAGGCCAATTCGGCCTCTATCTAGGACCTAAAAATTCGGACAGAATGTTCATCACAAAACCCTCACTTTTCAATTTTTGGTCCAAAACAGAAATTGGTTGCAATTAATCACTTTTTCCACCTCCTAGAGTCATTAAACATCATTTTCAATCATCATATATAACCACACAACCATGTTCATATTAAAACAGAAAAATCCCCAAAAATTATAAAATTTCATCAATTCAACCAAAATCAAGATATAATCCATAAAATCATTTATTTAGCCATCACAAGTCTCTAATTTAGCATAATCAAGAACAAAGAAAGGATGGCTAGACATGATACCTTCAAATATCAAGAAAGGTGATGACTTAGGGATTTTTCTTCCAAAACAACTCCACCAAGAGCTTCAATCTTCCTTAGCTAGCAAGTTTTATGGAGTGATTTGCAATTTAATCGGTTGGAACTCAAGATTTGGACAAGAAATTGAAGTGCAAGATGATGGATTTTCTCTCTCTTTTCCTCTCAAAATTTCGTCCAAGACAAGCTAAAATGGAGAGAAATTGGGTCCAAATTGGTTTTAGTAAAGTTAGAAAAGTCTTGGTCAAAAGTCAAGGTCCAATGGT